AATTTTTTCTTTAATGCCCTAAATATAAAAAATACAATATAATATGTTTAAAGGGATTTATTTTTGAACAATTTCACATAGATGAAATTAATGGAAATCTGGTAGCCTGAAACTTATAGGATTTTGAATTTAAGAAAACTGGTGGTTTCCATGATAACAAATAATTGTTTATTTCAAATTTTGTTATTTGACATGAAAGTGAACTTTTTCTTTCTATTTTGTTTTGTTTTACAGAAAATTTTATGTACTTTAATTCAATTCTTTACGATTTTAGTGTGAAATGCATAATAGAAGTTGTAATGATCTGACTTTTATTGCCAAAGGATTTGCTCGCCGGATGGAGTTTAATAAATTTAAAAGAATAATGAAATATAAAAAAATTAATTATTACATAAAATAATATAAGAACGAAAGAATCTATACAATGCAAATAAAATACTAATCTCTAGAAAACGTAACGAAGAAAGAACTAGCTATTCTAGAGGAGCATTCGCTGAGCTCCGATCGCGCTTGTTATTAATCTAGAATAAAACGGATTTAAACATATTTACCACGTTCGCGAAGATGTTGATTAGGACGACGCATATTACTTTCGCGTGGGGTACTTTCTAGAATTTATCCCCTAGACGACGGTACGGACGGATACTAGGGTCGTGCACGCTAGGTCGATTATTATTCCTAATCGGGAAGAAGCTAGATATTGGATTCAGTTCCAATATTCATGCCCGACGCGAAGCTAGTGCAAAGTAATATTCACTAGGTGTCTCCTCCACCCGAGAAGCGCCTCGAGATGGGGAATCGACAAAGTGCATCATCTTTGTCAAGAGAGGAGCGACTCTACTCGACAAGGACGGTCCTGGTGGAAGTGAGTGGGCAACCTGGTTCACCAGTTTTTCACGGAAGCGACCATAGAAAGTCGGGTTCACCAGGAGGAAGGAAGGCGAAGGGTGTTACTGTTCCGCAGGAGCGCCTACAGGAACAAGTACAGCTCCTTCTAGGAAGTAAGGAAGGCTCCGGTGTTCAGAGAGACGCACCTCTACTGAGCACCAGGTAGCCAGGAGTGAGTCGCTTCCAATCGTCAGAGAAGCACCTCTAGACGAGTCGGAAGAAGACTGAGGAAAAGGTGCGAGACGAAAGGTATATCACTAGCAGCTAGGTGACAGCGAGTGGTGGGGGAAGAGACTGACACTACTACTTACGCTGTCTACTTTCTCTCTTTTCGCCGCGCCACTACACTACGATACTCTATCGTTACAAAGTTTCACTTTCAAAAAACCGTAAAAAAGACATGTTTTTCATCAAAATTTAAAAAAAAATTAATATTTTAAAATATTTTAATCGACTAATTCTTGTAGAAATTCTTTATTAACATCAAAATGTTTTGCATTAAGAAAAAAATTTAAATAAAGTTTTTTTTTGATAAATTATTTAAAATCACTATTAAAAAAGTTAAAAAATCAAGATAATTTTAATTTCCTTCCATCGATTATTTTCATTTTGGTCTTAAAATAACCAGAAAAAACTCCCCAAAGAATATCCAAAAGAAAATGTCGATATTCATTAACTTTTGGGTTGAACTTCATCCAAGCTCACCGTGAATGTTATCTTCTGAGCAATAGTCATTACTTTGCACGGTGGGCTTTAACCAACTTTGAATAAAGGATCATATCACACCTTTTTTTATTACAAATTTTGGTTATTTAGGTCATAAATAGCGTGTAAAAAAATTATAGCCCATAACTTGTCGAGCCGTTTTTGAGAAAACTCATTTTGAAAGAAAATCTAGTTTCCTTGGAAAATTTAATACATTTACATTGAATTCCCAATTTAAGTATTTCAATTATGACATTTATACTTTTTCCAAATTATAATGAAAATAAAACGATATTTCAGAAATTATAATTTAATTTATTAAGTAATACATTATTTGTTTAAATAAAATGACTGTATTTTGTAAAAAAATAAAAAAAATTTATAGTATAAGAGAAAAACCCTTTAATGGACGAAACTGTACCAGATATATCATAAACTTTTATAAAATGTAGAATTTAACAACTCAATTGTACAGAATTTTAGACACTAATACTTCAGATTTTTAAATCGCAGGCTTAAATATGTTGAGCCTTATATTCTTGTACTGCTCTAAGTAATTTTGATGGATATTCCGGATGCTTGTCAAAAACTTTATATTTGGCCCAAGTTGTCTTGAAGTCTGAATGTAAGGATTCTACAGCTTGCTCACTTTAAAATCCCAATCCCTCGCCTGATTTCTCACAAAACTGCGAAACATGAAATATCACGGCATGGACTTTCGGCGTAACGGAAATGTTCAAATCATAATAACTTTTTTTAAAGTTAGAACGCCGAAAAGTCCATGCCGTGATATTTCATGTTTCTCAGTTTTGTGAGAAATCAGGCGAGGGATTGGGAGTTTATAGTGAGCAAGCTGTAGAATGCTTACATTCAGACTTCAAGACAACTTGGGCCAAATATAAAGTTTTGACAAGCATTCGGAATATCCATCAAAATTACTTAGAGCAGTGCAAGAATATAAGGCTCAACATATTTAAGCCTGCGATTTAAAAATCTGAAGTATTAGAGTCTAAAATTCTGTACAAGTGAGTTGTTAAATTCTACATTTTATAAAAGTTTATGATATATCTGGTACAGTTTCGTCCATTAAAGGGTTTTTCTCTTATACTATAAATTTTTTTATTTTTTTAAAAAATACAGTCATTTTATTTAAACAAATAATGTATTACTTAAAAAATTAAATTATAATTTCTGAAATATCGTTTTATTTTCATTATAATTTGGAAAAAGTATAAATGTCATAATTGAAATACTTAAATTGGGAATTCAATGTAAATGTATTAAATTTTCCAAACCTAATGATTTCATGTCTCAAAAAACTTTGGACATTTTGTAAAATATTTCCTGGATATTTCAGAAGTCGTAATTTGTAATATTGCAGGAATATTTCAGTGAAATATTTTCTCAAGTTAACCATCAATATTTCCTCATAAGCGGACATTTTCCTGTTTGCAGCAATATTTTAAGGACTTTGCATTGAAATATTTTCAAATTCCTGTGAAATATTTTAAAAATGTTTTGAAAATATTATGTGCTGTGTGGGCTGGAACAATGGTTTCTTCTGCCACCTGCTGACAAATGTTTCCTTTTAGGGAATATAGCCTCAGGATCAAATCAGCCTTATTTCCTGCAGTCGGTAGACCCCTTCGTTGTAACGCTAGTTTCAGTTGTAGTAGGGGAGCCTATTGAGACGATGATATTTTGTAGTTTAGATGATTATGAGAATAAAAGGTTCTATAAAGTTTTCCCTTTCAGTGGTGCGTTATTTATGTGTATACAAACAAAAATGTAAAACAAAACAGTTACATGCAAATACTTGAGCGTGTCAGATATTAATACTTTTAATACTCCACCGTGTCTCTGATACCAAAGGTATGTTCATCTTCTGGTTTGCGTGGTGCTGGTGGCAATCCGGATGGATACAAAATAGAAAAAAAAATTTGTTCGAGCGCGTTAGATATTTAGGGAGGATGTTAAATAAACCCTAAAAATGCTTCCATTCAAAAGACTGACGTTTCGGAAGTAACGCAAGATCGTAGCGAATTTTTAAAAATGCAGAAAACAATCGCCATCTAGAAATACTCGGGCTTGTCAGATTTTTATACAAATGGTTCAGCTTTGATGCTGCAGTCCAAAATCTGACGATTATTTTGAGAAATATTGTAGATGTTACAGCTGTTTTGTGATCAGCTGTAATAGTGTCATGGTGACAGAGAGCAGTGTTATTTCCTTCAAATTAAAAAAAATTTAACTGCATCGAGAATGTCAAGACAACGTTTTTTGCAAATTTGTAACCATCCCGCTTTATATGTACATTTGTTAGCTAGTAATTACCCATATTAATTACCTTACCTTAATCTGACGAGTCTTCAATATCTACAACCATCGATTTTTTTACTAATCTGATGGACTATCCTAGATGCACGTCTTGATATAAAGAGTTAATACTTGAAAGAGGTACTCAACAACATGCAAGGTATCTCCCCCTCTGTTCATCTGTCGCGCTCAAGTTAATCCCAAAAAATACATTAGGCTTTCCTACTCGTCACTATGAAATCTTCAAAAATTTTACGATGGCACAAGTCGTACACCTTAGCCACAAACCATTCACCACAAACACCGGATCCACGTGTTAATTTTTAAACTAGCTTTGAATTGAAAAAATATAAAATTAAATCGTAAATATTATTTTCATATTTAGTTTTAAATTTTTTTATCATTACTATTATGCTTATAGTAATTTATAGTATTTATTGATATAAAAAAATAATGATTTTTATCCAATACATTATATAAAGGTTAAATAATTAATTGATAGTAGAAAGTGTTATGCCTCAACTTATATTTTCAAAAAGGAGGATTTTAATATATCAGAATTTACACAAAGTGACTAACAAATAAAGCATGTTTTGATTATTTTTATGATAGAATTTTTTATTTATATTGAATTATCTTAAATCATAAGTATAATTTGTAATAATTAAAATTTGATTTTATACAAATTGACGCACTGGGTGAATTATATATATATATATATATATATATATAAAATAGAGTTTTTATATTTTTCGACCTAAAGAATTGATTTATTTAGTTTCCTTAAATTCCGATTGTTTTATAACAATTGATTTAATTTATAATTAAATACTATTTACGGCTTATTTCACCTAACTGGTAACTAGTTGGCAGTAGATAGAAGAAAAAAGTAATACAATAGTATTCCCATATCCGTTTTAATTGTAGCTCCAGTTGTCTCATTTTTTCTCTTGAAAATTGAGACAATAGAATATGTAATATAAAAGTATTCATTACTTCCTAATCCCTCTCATTGCACCCAATGCGTCAATTAAAACAATAGAAGATCAAAATTATTGCAGGAACATTAATAATTATGATGGAATTTCTAGAGACTTGATAACTGCATTACATGCACGGAAGAAGGAAGTGTTTTTAGTCTCTGGAGGTTTTCGTTGTTTAATTCGACCAGTAGCTGAAAAATTAAACATCCCTATCGAAAACATTTTTGCTAATAGTCTAAAATTTTATTTCACAGGTTGGTTAACATTCTTTATTTTTTGATTACAAACAAATTATATTTTTGATTTTTACTATTAATTGTTATTTGATAAAAATTTTCAAAACAAATTAAATTTGGAATTAGAAAAATTATTTTTGCACTGTTAGAAACTTTTTACACAATTCAAAATAAAAGAATAATATAATTATAACCAGGGGTGCAATTATGTAATTTCATTTTGACATCCACATCGACATTAACTTTCATAATCACATTCAATTTTATTTTCACTTTCATTTTCACTTTTACTGAAATTTAATTTTTATTACAAAAAATATTAAGTGCAAATGATATGTGATAATTTAAAGTACTGTCGTCACCGTTTCTTTTGTTACATTTTTTAATTTCCTGTCATTGTATATATTTATTATTCCAAACATGGACTCAAAATTCGAATTCGTACAAATGAATCCACGTTAATTCTCCTGCAGAGAGTCGAATTTTAAAAAAATATATACCTCTAGTACTTACCCGTAATGCAAAATTGTTTGCTAGTTTCAGTTCAATCTGAGAATCTTTTTAATTAAATATATATGGGGTAAAATTCCTGTAGCGAACTAAGTGAAAAAGAAAGTTGATCGGATCGGGCTGTACTTTGCACATAGTTTAACCCCAGGGGTGAGTAATTTAACCACGAAGTATTGTTAGGATTTTTCAGAAACTGTCGGAGAGGGTTAAATTTTTTGAAAAATTTAAGCAGTGAATTTTTGAAGGCTTGTAACTTTTAAACAGAAAGAAGAAAAAAAATTTGTTCTATATATTTTTGAAAGGTTTTTTTTTGTTAATTTTGAGATATTAATTAATTGATTAATTCATGTTAATAAAAAATGAAATATTTCACAAATAAATAAAGTTATTGCAATCCTGAAGGTACCAATTGAAGTTAGCCAATTGTTTATTAACAATCCACTAACCCAAAGTACTTCATATAGGGCTCGTTAGATGCGGAATTTTCTCAACTTTCATTTATTAACGTCAGAATTAAGATACTTTTATTTGTTTATAAAAAATATTTTTTTATTAACATTAATTAATTAACTAATATCTCGAAAATAACAAAAAAGGACATCTCAATGTTTTGTTAGGTAAAAATGCACATTTCTAACAATCAAAAAAATAAATAAATAAATTTTAAAAAGAAGACCAAACTTAAAAAAAAGTCTAAAACATTTTGGATTTTCAGAAAAAAGGTCAAATTTTGAATTTTTTCCCCCAATCGAAAGAGCACAAAAAAACATTTGGAAAACATATATGTCAAAATTTTTTTTATCTAGTTATATAATATTTACAATTTTTTGCACCAATCGAAAAAGCAGGAAAAAACCTTTCGAAAACATATTTTTTTTCTTCTTTCTGTTTAAAAGTTACAAGTGTTCAAAAATTCACTGTTTGAATTTAAAAAAAAATTCAACCCCCTCCCTCATCGATAGTTTCTGAAAAAACCTAACAATACTTCGTGGTTAAATTACTCACCCCTAGGGCTAAACTATATGCAAATTACAGCAGGATCCGATCAACTTTCTTTTTCACTTAGTTCGCTACAGGAATTTTACCCCATATATATATATATATATATATATAGGCAAAACCACGAAACTTTTAAGTTTCAAGAAAAAAAAATTTCTTTTTTAATTTGCAGGCACATTGATGGCACATTGATGTCACTTTGTATACACGTTTAAGTACATTTTAGCACTACAAATTCATTTGCGTTGTAATGATCTGACATTTATTGCCAAAGGATTTGTTCGCCGGATGGAGTCCGGGTACCTATTTTGACTAGTTACATTAAATCTCGGTAGATGGCGTGAAGCGCCATCTATGTTTCGATTAATTTCGGAACTATTTCTTACTATGATGAAGACGAAAGGCGTAGTCATTGACGAGTCTTTATTTAAACCTTCGAAAGAGAATATATTGTTTGAATAAAAGAATAATAAAATATTCAAAAATGAATTATTACATAAAATAATATAAGAACGAAAGAATCTATACAATGCAAATAAAATACTAATCTCTAGAAAACGTAACGAAGAAAGAACTAGCTATTCTAGAGGAGCATTCGCTGAGCTCCGATCGCGCTTGTTATTAATCTAGAATAAAACGGATTTAAATATATTTACCACGTTCGCGAAGATGTTGATTAGGACGACGCATATTACTTTCGCGTAAGGTACTTTCTAGAATTTACCTCCTAGACGACGGTACGGATAGATACTAGGGTCGTGCACGCTAGGTCGATTATTATTCGTAATCGGGAAGAAGCTAGATATTGGATTCGGTTCCAATATTCATGCCCGACGCGAAGCTAGTGCAAAGTAATATTCACTAGGTGTCTCCTCCACCCGAGAAGCGCCTCGAGATGGGGAATTGACCTAGTGCATCATCTTTGTCAAGAGAGGAGCGACTCTACTCGACAAGGACGGTCCTGGTGGAAGTGAGTGGGCAACTTGGTTCACCAGTCTTTCACGGAAGCGCCCATAGAAAGTCCGGTTCACCAGGAGGAAGGAAGGCGAAGGGTGTTACTGTTCCGCAGGAGCGCCTACAGGAACAAGTACAGCTCCTTCTAGGAAGTAAGGAAGGCTCCGGTGTTCAGAGAGACGCACCTCTACTGAGCACCAGGTAGCCAGGAGTTTTAATGTAACTCGTTTCCAATCGTCAGAGAAGCACCTCTAGACGAGTCGGAAAAAGGCTGAGGAAGAGGTGCGAGACGAAAGGTATATCACTAGCAGCTAGGTGACAGCGAGTGGTGGGGGGAAGAGAGTGACACCTTTTAAGAAATGCATTGAACTTTTATTTTTATCCAACGCCTTAATAGATATTTTCATAAGAAGACGTTCAATTGAATTTTTTTAAAAAGTGCTATCTGTTAATCAAACCTTTGTAGTTTTAGTTTTAGTGGTGGCACACTAATGGGATAGTGAAAATTTATTCACAAATTATGTCTGTTAGATATTTCCATAGTAGCTGAAGTGATCTTTTACACGCTGCAAAAATAAAAACGTTAGGAATATAAACTTTTTCAAGAAATTCAAATGAAATTTAAGCATTTTTTCACTTTTTAACTTATAAAACTAATTGTCAAATAAATATTTTGTTCTAATACTGTACATAAATGTTCCTTTGTATATAATTTAGCAAAAAAAATTATACCCAAAGTTTTAATTTAAAATAATTCAGATTTTTAAGTGTTCGATTCGAGAATCACAAAAGTTAAAAGTTTCGTTAATTTTGTAATGATAGTTAGAAATCGGCCGGTAAATATTTGTACTAAATATTATCGCGCGTCGATAAACAAGTTACCGACCGCGGAGAACAAAGACGTAGTACCCGATTTCGCCGCGCGGGCCGCATCGCCAAAGCTCACTCGTGTGTGCCCAGCCCACCGATCGGCTATATAAGCTGCGCTCTCGCTGAGGACCGTCCCTCTCGTGCTACACGGAGTCCGGGAGGGTCTTACCCACCTGACTAGGAGTTTTACTCCGAAAATCTTTGTAGGGAGTATTACTCTCGTTCGTCGGGTTTTACCCGTCAAACATTATATCGGTTTTATGTGTAAATAGTGTATAGTAACGAATTGTAAAGTAATGTATCGCGATGTAAAGTAACGTAATGTATAGTAAAGAAATATTGTAAAGTAACGTATCAAATGTATAGTAAAGAAATATCGTATTCCCGCAGTTTAAAGTAAATTTTCCGTTTTATTACCGTTTGTAGATATACTTAGAGTCTTACTCTTCGTATAATTAGAACACGAGTTTTATTCGTGGTTCACCAGAGTATCGCGGATTTTTAGACAGTATTACAATTGATTTCACGGCTCATCGCTGCGAGTTGAAGCCGATTTCGTTAATGCGCGGCTCAAATAAGCGACGTTACCAGATTGATGCCGAATCTCGATTCCGCGGCTCAACGTATCGCGATAGACGCCGACAATCGTTGTGTAAAACCGACTTCCGCGATTTATCTGTACGCCTGTATATTTTTCACCTGTAAATACCGTTGTAAGTAAATAATTTGTTTCAGTTTGTAATTAACCCGTAATTATCCTGTTACTATTTTTGTTGGAATCAAAACGAATCCTGGCTCGGCGAGCTAAAATATTGATTCTTACAATTACAAACGTTACAATTTGCCCATATATATATATATAATTTTTTTTAATTTTCTTAGATTTTCTCTGTTAAATAATTCATTCAAATAATTGATTACTTGGTTATACAGTACAATTTCGGTGTGTGTCGGACGCGATATGTGTCGTATTTTTTCCACGCCTATAATCTTGGCAAGTGTCGGGTGCCTTTCAATCTTTTATATCTGGGAAGAATTATATATGAATTATATGAGAAATTATGTAGGAAATTATATGTGAAATTCCAATATAGATGTACATAGGAATTTACATAATTAATTACTTAAGAATACGTTTATAAGAATTTACATTGAATCACACTTCAAATCATGTCTCAATTTCCTATATGATTTTTCATAAGATCCTATATAGTTTCTTACATGACACATAGAATTTTATGTGGATTTTAATATATGAATTTATGTGAGATCCTATATAAGATCCAACATGAGAATTTTTAGTAAGGCAGTGACTCTAAAAACCCCCAATGGACAATTTTCAAGTAAACTTGGTAAATTTTTGGCCGCCATATTGTGTCCGCCATTTTTAATTTTTTAAATCTTACCTTTAAATTCAGATTCAATGACCCCAAAAACCTTAAAATACTCCTTAACACAAGAATTGAATTATGTTTAATATTTTTTTCTAAGGTGACCATATATGACCAAAGTGTATATTAACATTACTAATAGTGTTAATTTTAAAATGTCAGAACTTTTTTAAAAAAATTCGTAAAATAACTTTTAAAAATGGATTTTAAAGCTAAAGAGTAGTACTATAAGATCCTTTTGTCAAAAATTAAAAAGATTCTCATAGATCGGACTGAAACTTGCAAACAATTTTG